ATGCAGTTTTTGCTTATCACCAAATTAATACGAGGTTAAATGCAAAAATAGTTTTATGTCCTCTGTTCGGGAACATTCACCTTTCTGGACACTTCAAAGCCGTTGAACTTGAGCCACAAATCTTCCTGTATGTTGGAGGAACGACAGCGACTTTCCGTAACAGATGGTATAAAAATTGGCATGAGAAATGCGATGCAGATCGATCATTTCACTCGGCCATATGGCAGAGCTTTGAACGGCAGGCGGCCCTTGAAGCTCTTGCGCCAGCACTGTCTGATAATGTTAATTCGATCATAGATAAAAATGTTGGTTCCCATGCTGAATCTTCGCCCTAATCGAGTTCAAGATGGAATTAAGCAAATGTTGGCAAGCGCCCGAAAGACACGTGCCAAATCCGCTAATTGTTATGGAAAAGCCCCTTTGGATAATGGCAAAGCTCTTAGCAGGTTGTCACTTTTCAGGAAAATTGATTTAAAACCCACAGCTGATATAAATTCGGTATAAAATCATCAATCCCCTTTGAAAAGTGCCCTATTCTGGTTTGCCAAGGAGAGTCCATTGTTGACTGGCCTATTTAAGATTCCTCCGGCAGGTTCCCACGAGAATCTTCACTGGTTAAGGGAATCGGTGCGATTCTTCTAGGTTTTTGGGACAGATGGAATCCAATTTTCCCATTGGATACTGAATCAATCAATTTCTCTTAGCCTATCAGATAACCTTTGGCATGTTTGTACAATGTGAATACTTAATGGTTTTCGAGGGCTTATATCAGGCAGCGACGTTTATTAAAATTTCGCCCATATAATGTACTATCGATTAACCGAAAAATCTAATTAATTGTATCCGAGTATTATACGATAAGAAGGCAAAATAAGAAGATTATTTTCGTGGGCTTTGTTAACCAAATAGCCAGTTTGGAAAACTGCGAATCGCTTTGGAAATGAGTAAAATACAACCCATTTTCGATCCATAAAAATTGCCGTTTTAAAACTATCGTCGCAACTTGACCCGAAAATTTGCTGGCCATTAGCATAGTGGAGAAACTGAAGCTACATTTATTCGCATCTTAAATTATTCGGAAGATCACGAACCTTAAAATGCAGTCGTTTTTAACGAAGCGACGAATATTAATATTCATCTCGCAGGTTGAAAACCTGGATCTTGCCTACGACAAAGGCGAAAAGAAACCGTTCTCACGAGACAAATATTCAGATATTAATAGGCAAGGATCGGGGGGTGAAAAAAGAATGGAAAAGTACGCACTTGAGCAGTCTGCGCTTTTGTTTTAACCCTCTAAGACGGTGCATTGAAAGGGGAAACATGGCAAATACGCAAACTTACCCTCTCGGTCCCTAAGAATGTCGCATGCATGTATATCTACTTCACGGTTTCATTTTCGCTTTCCTTAATTAATGAGAGTGGCTGGTGGATTATCCATTTGTCGAGGTTTTCTTGAGATTCAGCATGCATATGTGGGCAGGCTTCAAGCATCAGATAATGGATCGAGCAAATGGTCTCTGAGGACTCAAACTCGAGAATAAATCAAGAATTTGGTCGCCCGACTTAACAGACTTTTTTGAATGTAAAGCTGGGTACTTTTGGTTACACCGCGGACAAAACGAGCTAATTAATGTGCCAGTTAAAGTGATGACTTCGCGTCACACATTCGCACTTAGCTTAACGATGTTTATCCGCTCCTGGAAATAAAGAAAACGGAAGAAGCAGTTAAGTTGGTTTGTCGCTACTAATTTGCGGTAGTATGTTTAGAAAATGAGACAATTTTTAATTAGATGTTAATTGGGCTGCACAAACACTGTTTTCACTGCTTCCAGTTTAGAGTTCCTTGTCTGGTTTCCTCATAAAAATCCCAAGCGCAGTCAGCAGCATTGGAAAAATTCAATCGCCATTAGACAGTTCACTTAGGGTATTAAAAAATAATAAGGCCGAGAACATCGTGTATTAGCCACGTGCGTTGATCAAATATTCATCATTCCAAATGCCATATTAAGGCTAAAAAAACGGAGCAAAGAAGCGAGTTATGTCATTTATCAAACGTTAAAAGGTGCGTGATCGAAGACGGAGCACTATTAAAAACGCCATCGATTTTCCGCAACTCTGTTTTGGATTTTCCGGCTTTGCTGCATGTGTGCTAATTAGAAATAGGAGCTATAGAAATAAAGCCCGAGTAGCCATTTCCACGGCAAAAAAGAGCATTCATTTTTCTCTCCATAGAGAACGCGCCAAGGGTCAGCAACTCATTCAGCGGACTTTCGCAAAAAAAAACTTTCCTGCCCTTTCACGTTTGATGTGTTACACGAACCCCTCCACAGGTTTGTTTAAAGATTTTTTTAATTAGAGGCCAAAGCGCTTTCGATGCCAAATAAATTAAATTCAATCGTAAATGACAGGGGATTTCGTTGCAAATTTCCATCCTCAACCGGCGATTTTCGATGGCTTCTGTGGCGTTTTTATGCATCAAGTCAAGGAATAGATAAAACTGAACATGCAAAATTTCGCATGTTTTTAGTGTTAAATCAACCGCAATGAGTGTTCAAGGATGCTCATCGCGGGCTTATGATTCAGATTAGTTAGTCATGAGATAAAGAGGGAGGAACACCACTTATCTGAGGTTTTCCTATCTTCGAATTTGTTTATTGCAAATATACCAAACGCATGTGGCCGCTCAGAGTCTAAAAATGCACAGATTCTCATTTTACTCCAAAAAAAACGACTGTGTTCACTTAGACTCCGTTCTAAAGCTGGTTTCAATGATCAGAAGGTCAAGTTATTAGTTGTTAGTTTCTGAGTTTGTCAAGTAACTACACTTCTGTCCCTGAAGGTGATTTAAGCGTGTCCAGAAAGAGACACAGTAAAAAATGCCAATAACTAACAGGAATATGAAAAAGTTGTGTATTTCCTTCGAGACACACTCCGAAAGCGTGGCCCAAAGGTAATTATCGAAAAAAATCGAGCACTCTTGCATGGATCCGCGTTTGATGTGGAAGATTGACCACCGAGAATCACATATGAAGAACCAAATTAGAGCGTGATTGTTTACCGGAAGAACCAAGTCCGCTGCTACACCGGAGATGGGTTTTTTGTCGCGTAACTTCCGTTAGAGGAAATTTTCTCTGTTTCCAGAGCTCTAATAGGTGGATAGAGACACTAGATTATGACAATGTAAACATGGATTTCACCTACTAAAGCGGCTTTAACTGGCAATTAGCTTTGCCCCTCTGATTAACCGTCGGCCACTGTATGTGTGTAGTTAAATCTTGCCGGTAGACCGATTAGTCAGTCGTCTTTGTTAGGCATCCACGTCGATAATGTTTCTCTCCCTTGTTTCCTCATTATGCACTT